GGCCCTTGGATTCATTCAGCTACAACTGCACTGGGAAGGTGGAAAGCCTAGGAGGGTGGTAGAGAAGACAAGTGGCAGGATCTGAAGTTGCTCTGCTCCCATGTTGCTACAGTGGTCTGGACAGGACTGAGGACTAGGGTCTCCAGCAGGAGCCATGGGCAGCCACAAGGCAGCAGAGCAGGCATCAGAAATAGCCTTCAAAAGAAGGAGAGAGAGGAAGGTCTAAAAGGCAGCAGGTCTTGTTTTCATCCTTACTTAGGGCAAAACTTTCTTAAGCATTTGCATGTAGGTTTCCCCTTCAGGAAATTACCCATCCTTTGGGTAATTTTTCTGAAAACAAAGTGGAAATTAGCAAAGAGACCACCAAAATTGCTTTGAGAGGAAAACCTTTCTAAGATTAGAAGTGCTTAAGTTCTTTTGGGAGAGACAGGCAAAACATGAATAACTTTTACCAGTTAATAGACATTAGCACACACTTCCTACTTCAGCAGAATGCATCAAAGGCACAACAACAGAGGGATATAAACCTGGCCACAAATATATGAGAGTAGTAAACTTATTATTAAGAAATGTAAAATTTGCTATCTCTATGAGGAAAAAAAAAGTTCTCTACCACAATGAAAAAAGCCAAAGTACAAACCCTGAAGAGAGGTGTGAATATGCCCTTACACATGCAGGATTATGGTAAAGAAATACAAATATTTGGATTTATTTAGCTGTGACTAAACTAAATATTAACATATTAAATTAAAAAACAGACTGCTAAGAGGCAAAAAAAACTTTTATAGGTGAATCCAACATATTTTTTTTTTCTCTGCACAAAACATAACAGTTCAAAGGACTGTTAATATATATACAACTCACCTATGCTTTATTCTCCAACACAGACCATCTAATAATCCAACAGAATGTACTCGTGATTTATCAGGTCTCACAGCAAATAAAAATAAGTAAACAGATCTCATTAAAATCCTTAGAATTTACAAAATGTCATGCTCTAAAATGTACAAATCACACATCTACATGAAAAGAATATTCACATCAACCCAAATGAATTAAAAGCCCTGCTAAACAAACCTTACACTAATACTAGGAGAACAACAAATATTTACCTCCCATGCTCCCAAAAGGCTCATCTTCTCTTTAGATACTGATTCTAAAATTCCTCCTCAAAATAATTACTGAGGGCTAGAGCTCATTTCTGTGGAAAGGGATGGATGGCCCTCCACCAGCTCCAGCAGAGGCCCTAATTGCTTGCCTCTACTAATAAACTAATCTCAGGCACCTGGAACTAGCAGGCTCCATGCCGGGCAGACAGGGCTCAGGTTACCTAAGAAATGCTCCAAATATATTCACACAAATCACTAGCCCTGCAGATGTGCAAATACTGCTTTTGTCGTATTGCTGGAGAGATGGACATGTGTTTGCAGGGCTGTAACGCATAAAACCTGAAGATGAATTCATTGTGTTCCTTTAATCCCTTCCAGAGGCCAGGTGGGCATTTGGGGAGCCAGATAAGTGTGTTGATTATACACATTACTCATTGCATTAATCCACTTGTCTGTGATTCAGAGTACCAGAAATGCTCACAGCATAAATATGTAGGTGGCTGGAAAAAAATACATGTATTTCATGAGTGGCTGTTGTCTGTAAAATAAAACCTAATCAGGAAGTTAGCCTAAAACTTTGACTAAAATCTAAACAAGTCTAAACTTTGCTGATGTCTACAGTTTGTAACATTACAGTTAAAGGATCTGGATGCCATGAGAGGATGTAAGCCTTGGTGTAAGCCTCGTGAGACAAACTACTTTTAAGGTATTTTAAAAGATTTTCACAGGCTGTTGTCCTCAGAAATTAAAGCATGTGTCACACAATGTCCATGGAACCTTCCACAAATTTCTTCTTCTTCCCTGAACAGATTATGTTGACAAACATGTGTCAAACACAGTATGTGCCTGATTTCATTTGAGGAGGGGAGAATGCTATAAACAGGACACACTTTAACCTGTAAATGGAGCAGAGAAAGAATAGGCTGTATTCTTGGTCTCCAACAAAGTGCTGAAATAGATGTCTAGTTTAGGTGATGTTCACACAGGTTGATTGATCTTAAAAAAGATTTCTCAATTTGTTCATCTGCATGAAAAATATTGTTACTATTGACTATGTAGACACAAACAAAAAATCATTTTAGAAACAAAGTCAGGAACATCTTCCAAAGTTATCTATGTTATGTGATGTTCCAGAATTTTTTTCCCTCTTCTTCAAGACACTGTAAAAATACCCCAAACCCACAAATCAAACAAACAACCTAGAAAAATAAACAAAAACAAAAACATCAAAACAAACAAACCAAACTAACAAAACAAAAAAACCACAAACAAAACAAAAACCCACTTAAATTTACTTTTTTACATCAGAGATGTGGAAAGATTATGTTTTAGATATTGACTGAATGGCAAACTTGCAGCTTTGCTGAAAAAAAAAAGTGCAGACATTGCAAAACTGAAGTTCAAGTCTGGAAGTAAAAGAAAGGCAGACAAGGCAAGCTCTAAATCCTCAGAACTCAGAGTAAACCAGCACTGAGAAAAGTCCTAACAGAGATAGCATCAATCTGCCCTCACTGACAACTGAATTTCCAAGACTACTTTAAGAAATTTGTTACAGTAATAATGTTTGAAGAAGACTACCACAATCCACTGGTGCACCTTTACTAGCTTGAAGAACATTCCAATAGGGAACAAATCCTTTTGTCTTCTGTACTCTAATGATTATCAAAAAAGTGAACTCAATTAATGAATTATCAAGGGTTAGTATGAACATTGAAAGATATATCAGAAAATCCCTTGCTCAAAGATCTACACAGACAGCATCTATTTAATTAAGTAGAGGAGAGCAGCAGAAATAACAGTATTCCACTAATTTCCTGTCTGGCAGCAATATTCTGTGCCATGAATGGCTCCTGCAGGCAGGAGTTCAGCTTCTTCCAAACTCCTCAGCTGGGAGTTTTGAAGAATAGGTAGAAGATTGTGAATACATGAGCATCAGACAGACAGTGATGCTGCCATCACTTGATCCTAGGATGCAGGGAGTAATCATGCCACAGATAGCAAAACACCTCCTGTGCCTACTTTATTGACCACTAAGCCAGCATTGAGGAAAGTGAATAGTAAATTCTCACAAAGGAATGTATCTACTTCTCTTCTCCATAGGAAGAATATTCAACACAATAGTGTCCATGCATTCTTCACTCATCTCCAATCACACACTCTCCCAGAAAAGGCAGTAAAATATATACATACCTATGAGGCCAAAAAAAAAAAAACAACCTCCTCTGAAAATTAAACACAATCAAAATTATTAGCAAAACTAAGCAAAAAGAAATTTCAGGAAAAAATTCCTGAATGTTAAGTTTTATTATGTTCATAGATGGATACATAAACCTCTTCAGATAGCTCAAGATATTTCCTGGAATATGTAACACTATCCTGTCATTGAACATTAAAAAACAATAAGAAAAGTTGGGGACTGTATTTAAAGGAAGAAAAATGGTTCAATGGCTCTAAACCAAGACAATTCTTTTAAAACCTCTTTTCACTTACTCATACTTTTTTTCGTCATTTAGTCACTTATGACAAGGTCCCATGTGATTTACCTTTCCCATGACCTTATGTCATTTCACCAAAGTAGTGACCCTAGATATTAATGTGGGTTTTGGTGCTGCTTTTTAAAGCATTCATTCTCATTTCAGCTGTTATTGATGAGCAATTGTTTGCATAAAAGCCTCTTTTATTACATGCAGGGTAGACATTCTCACATCCTATGAGCTGCCGATTTATTTTGCAGTGTGTGATGGGCTGGGGTACTCCCACCTCCCTTCCCACACAGCCTGAACTCAGCTTCACCTCTCTAAGCAGCCGGAAATCTCTCCTTGACCAAGCCAGGCCTCCGAGCTGCAGTCCCAAGCAACCACACACAGCAATGCTAATTGTTACTGGGTTTATAAAAAAAAAAAAAAAAGAAAAGAAAAAGCCACATGTATATATATATATATTCCTGCATTTATGTATATTGAGCCCAGGTGAGGATAAACAGAGCCTGCAGTTGTAAGTCACAAGTGTGAATCAACTGAATTCATATTAAGTGGTTTGAAAATATTTCTCTTGCATCCATTTTTGGTTGAGGTTCTGGGACTATATGCACGGAAAAAAGAAAAACAGAAAGGAAAGGGTTTGAGAAGCAATCCTACTCTGTGGAGTGAGCCAGGTTACGACTGGCTTCACAGGGTTTTAGCCTTTGTCATGTCAGCAAAAGTGACCATGTGTTGACAAAACAGAAGAGGAAATCTTCTTTTCTGCTCTGTTATACTCTTTTCACACATGCCTATTACCCTGAAGTGTTTGCCTATGCCTACAGCCATCAGCAGTTATGACAAAAAAAGATGGTTCCTAAGTGGGATCTCATGTAACAATTCCTGAATTTCTAAATGATTTGTGAAAACTTATATGCAAATCATTGCTACTTTCCAGGGAGTTCTGGGAACTGAGTTAACTGCAGAAACTTGACTCTCAGTTTCTGAGTGCATTTGGTACTGAGCAGTAAGAACACCACTTTTCACTTTCAGTGCTGTGAGAAAATTTAAATTCTATTTGTGTACAGTCATAAAATTCATGTTCTAACATCATATTATGTATTCGATATATTAGAAAAACTGTGTGTTTTATAAGCCTTTGCATGTGAAGCTGTTTTTCCTGTCAGGGAGAACTGACAGGTTGCCTGCCATCACCTACTCTTCAGCAAAGTCAGTAGCCCACACTGTCAGCGTGAAAACATCTGTTGAATGGATTTATTGAGTGAGTCTTAGGTACAAGTTGGGGGGTGGGGGTCCCCACTGTTTATTACAGCCCTGACCTAATGAACTTAATTTGTTGACATGTTTCCCTCAGTGTTTTACTTGATCCCATCTCACATTTCTTTCTACTGTGCTGTTTTCTTGGAAACAGGAGTTCCTGGCACATCGGCATGTCCACCAGTTGCAAATCTACCAGGCTCAGATGGCTACAGTTGGCATGGCAGGATCAGATAAACATCGACCACTTTCCAGGACCCCATCTTCCCCCACTGACTCCACATTACCTCACCCAGACATGGACCAGCCCAGCCAGCATGTCTACACAACTGGTAGGGTTCCCTGAAGACTGCTTTTAATAGGCAGGGCAAATGCATTTGTTCATGTGGGATCAACAGACTTAAATACCTCAAATAGCTCCTGCAGCAATGCGTTCAGTTTTAGCCCTATTGCTCCTCTGGTTTATGATGCTATACTGGCACCAACTCAACCAGTGCAGCTGATAAATCACAGGGTTAATATTCACACAGTCGTAAATTATTATCATTGACTAGCTCTAGCAATACAGAAACAGGTGCATTTTTGGTACCTTTAAGTCATTTATAGCTTTTTCTTTCATTTCTCTATTCTCTGGTTCTTTTCTTTTTGTTCTCGTTGCCTGTTTTGTAAAGAGACCACCAATACGTTGAAGAAAGACCACCAGTAAGGAGAAAAACTGATGTAATTCTCAATGTCTTCATCTGACAAAGCAGTCTTTGCTTCAAGGTCTCTTTCTCTACAGAAAGAGCAAAGCTGTAGGCATGATTAAGTGCTGATGGCTACAACTTCCGTGTCATTCAACGGTTGCGTGGAGTCTACAGAGGCAGGTTTTATGCTTAGGTGCTGGGTATTCCAGTCACTCAGGGACAATGCACTGTCCAAAGAAAAGTGATTAGAACCACAAAAATCTTCAGTCAAAGGAAGGAAAATGACCACAGAAACCTCATTTCTTATTGTGGGTAATCTAACCTTGCATGAAGGTCCATCTTTTTAAAAGCCTGAATGTCAGTATCACATTAGAGCATGGCCAGAAGTGAAGATTCACTTTGTGTGCAAAGAAAAATAAAAGAGGGGGAAATAAATAATTACAGTCACTGTTTATGAAGGTTTATGCCAGAGGTAAATTTCCTTCAGCTGGCAGAACTTCCCATGCCTTGAAAGTTTGCATTTTTTCAAGCAATGACCATGAGTTTATTAAGGATGGAGTCCTTAATGGTCATTGTATGTAGCTGTGTGAGACAGTGTTCTCTCCCGTCTTTCCAATCAGAATGTGACCTTGGCATAAATAAAAATGTTTTATTATTTTTGGGTAACAAACATTTGGGTTGTACAGAAACAAACATACTAATTCACTTTCCATGACTTTCTCCAAAAAGAACAGCGAAATATAGACAGGATTTTTAAACCAGACCACTGTATTTCTAGTTGTATTCAGAGAGTCCTGAAAACATTGTAAACTCATTCTGATTTGCAGAGCACACCAAAAGTGAGCTCACTGTGTGTAGACTTCACTGTCCCTTTCAAAAATCTGCAGTTTCAAAAAAAAAAAAATCTGCAGTCCCTTTCAAAAAGTTGCTGCTTCAGCCTAATTGCTAAGGTTTACTGACACCTCCTTTTGTAATCCCCAGAAAGGGGAGTAGGGTCAAGGGGGTTACATAGATCTGTGGACTTGTGGCATTAGTGGAACTAATCAAGAAAGAAAGTGTGAAGTTGAGATGGAAAAATGAGAGAAGGAATGAAATTGTGTACAACAAACATAGAATGGAGATGGTGATGGGAATGGGACATCCCTGGCATAAAGTGCTCGAGATGTGACACAGAGAAATCCGATATGTTCAGCAGCGGAAATGCAGACAGTCAGATTAGGCAGAGAGTCAAAATTTACCTTTTTAGTAATTGCTACATGAACACCAGTGGAAAGAGAGAGAGAGAAAAAGAGAGCAAAAGAGAGAGGAAGGAAGGAAGGAAGGAAAGAAGGAAGGAAGGAAGGCCAATTTATTGCAACTGAGATTATCAGTCCACTGAATTCCTTTTTCAAAATATGAAACATCTTTTTCTTGAATCCCTGATTCTTGTTTTACTGAATTTTTTTTCCCTCCCTTCACTGCTCATTCAAGGTAAACTCTACTTATTACTGAAAAAAAATTAAATCCTCTTATTTTCATCTGCCGTACAACTTTATGCTTCTTTTTCTCCACCTCTGCTCTGTACTCTCAGTGCTTCTATATTCTCTAGGTACAGACAGTGTGGTGCTGTACCTGCTTGCAAGCTGTATCTATGCTAATATCCAGTACCCCCTGGCTGATTGACCAGGTCTTGCAGAGCACATAGCTCTGCAGTTAAGCCTTTCCTTTGTGCTTAAAGAAATCTATTTCCCTGACATGTGTCTAGGCTTACAGACTTACACATGTAACCTTATCACTCCAGCTTTTGAGTGCATCAAAAATAGAGATTTTTATTTTTTATGTTATGAGATTGATACCTTTGGAGTGACAATTAAGAGAAACTTTGCAACACCAACAGTTCTAATACACTGTCTGTGAGAAAAAAAAACAAAAAACAAAAAACAAAAAACAAAAAACAAAAAAAAAAAAAACCAACAAAAAAACCCACCAAACCAAAACGAACCAAACAAACAAAAAACCAAAAACAACAAACCAATCTGTGTATTATTAACATATGTGATGTTATGGTATAGAATGACTTTTTCTGTGCATGCTCTTTCCTGGATCTGGATGATGCCATATTGCCATATCATTTATTCATTGATCACTTGAAAGAAAGAAATTCAGATCCAGTTTTAATTTATTCTTATATGGCCTTTAGAAAATCCTTTAGGATGAAAGTCCTGTTCTAAGCAGAGTTGGGCTACAAACCTCTGGAGGTCCCTGCCCACCTGAGCTATCCTATGGTTCTGTGATTTTCTCCCTTAAGAGAGCACAAGATGCAACCAGCAATTGTCTACAGCAGTTGCAACATTAGCATTTGTAAAAGCATAGAAGGAAGGAATGGGTGTGTGGAAAGGGAGAAAATTCTGGTCCACCTTAAAGCAAGGGTAAGTTCAGACTCTAAAAATTAATGTAATAACATGTGTCTGCCTTGAGTTATTATTTACTGTTAGGGTGTTTTTTTTTTCCCCCTATTTAAAGACAATATATGTTCTTGGAAGAGAAAAAAAGTTAGGAGGAAACCAGTTGTAGCAGATTATTACAGGGGCATCAAACTGAGCCTGTATTTTTGTGAGTCACAAGAAAAAATGCTTTTAGCCAAATATCTGAAGGGAATCAGAACAGTGACTGTTGCAAGAGTTAAGCAATATATACACAGTAAATGCACAAGATAATGAGTTAAATGTGGAAAAAAAGAAAGTCTACTTAATTTTCACTTAGGCAGTTTACAGAATACTTGTCATTATTTAGTTCAGATTTTTTTTGTTGGAATAATTTATTAGATATTCTTCCCTTGGGTTTTCTTATTGGTACTGTTATTCTCCAGGGCAATTAATCTTCTTCAAAGCATGCTGCTAGCCAATGAATTTTAGGTCTCTAGTTCTCCCCTCTGTTTAAAATATTATTAAAAGAAACTGACCTGAATAAAGTATTTTGGAAATGAATGAGTGTTAGGGAGTCCCCACCAGGAAAATCCTGGTTTTACTGACTTAAAGCAAATTCAGTTTCTTTTGTCCTGTGTCCCCTATCATTATATGGTTCAGTGGTGGCACCATTCCCATCTGTCTTCAGGGCCACATTCTGACCTCAGTAATATTGGTGTAAATCCAGAATAAATCCACCAGTCTCAGTGGAGCTGCTCAGATTTACACAAGGAATCCGAGAGCAGAATCTGGCTGTAGGCATTTGTTCTGGAGAGACAGAATAACCATCTTTTATTAATATTTCACAGCAGTTTGCAATTGAAAACATTTGTCTGCCTCTCTTCTTCTTCTTTTTTTTTTTTTTTTTTTTTTTTTTTTTTTTATGTGGGAGTGGGGAGATTATTGGCTGAATCCTGTTAGGGAAATCCTACAGGATATTTTTAGCAGTAAGCTCTACTGCTGCATTCTGGTATTGTACTGAGCACATGTGCTGTATGACCAGCAGCCATACATCTGAATCACTTGCACATCCTAAATCAATTTAAATGCTTGCAATAAATGAAAACATATATTTCAGTCTTTTCTTAAGTCAATTAATCCTCCTAAAAACAAATTTTACACTCAGTGGTGTGAATATCTTGGTATTTAAAAGTTTGGAGCAGATGCTTCTGCCATGCAATACTGACTTGACCTTATTAAACTGATTTTTGATTCAGACAAACTCACATACAATAAAATTACACTTTTAGCTGTACTCTATTTCTAGAAAAGTGCTAAGAAAAGAAGTTTATGTCAACCAGAGGAGGCATCCTGAATACACAGTTTCAGTGTTTCACTTTGAAATTGGTTGCAACCCTGATACAGGTAGTAAAAAAAGTGTCATTATTACTCCTGACTCTGTATAACCAAAACAGTAATATGTTTTTTATTTATTAATATCATTCCCATTACTTGCTATCTGGACTATTCAAGTAAGAAGAATAAAAAATTAATTGAAAGATTGGCAGGTAGAAGCAACTTTCAACTTTCAGCTAATTTTTCTTAATGTTTAACAAGCATTTCTATTCAAATCCATTTGATATAATAGCCTGTCCTACCTGAAAGCACCTGAAAGTCCTGATGCCTGTACAGTTAGCACATAAACAGTTCCCTGTGGGTCAGGGGGATGGGAGGAAATGTTTTCTTTTTTGTTGGTATAATGGCCACTGCCAAACTGGACAGGCTGAGTAGCCAACAGACTGCAAAAGTTAAAACTGTGAGTGCCAAGAAAAGGAAAGTGAGGTATGTGAGCATGCCCTTTTTTGTGTGCATCCTTCCAAGTAACTTACAAGACCTGATGATAGAGCAGTGAGGAACAGCAGAGAAGGGAAATTATTAACTGCTTTGACAATGCCAGTAGATATTTTAAGCTGCATTAGCTTATTAGCTCCAGGTTTTCACTGGTTCTTTCTTTCTTTAAAAGAAAACAAGACAAGAAAGTAAATTTAAAAATTTATTGCTAATGAACTATTATGTTTGCTAGATAATCATTTAGCATAAACTTAGTCATACTGCAGTTAGGTATTATGTTTGCGTTCTCCTTACGCTTAACATAAGTGTATTCTCATTTTGGCTTAAATACCAAAATCCCAAAGGATCAGTTCTAAAGTGCATGAGCTAAGAAATATGGCAGCATAAATATTTCTAGAGCAGAATAACTTCTGGCTGGCTTCTAACTGAATTATCTCAGAAACTTAACTTTGAATCACCCACGATGTACACAGGCTCTCATTCAGAAGAGCTTTTAAAGACTTTCTTGATGTTCAATACCCATTAGAGGACTTTGTAAAATAAAGTTGGTGTTGAGAATTTTGTTGAATCTGGACTTAAATTTTGTATTCAGTAGCAGGTGAATACAATTTTTCCAGAACTGTGTTGGCATCCCCAGTAATGGTGGCACATAAGATGTTTTGAATGCCAAGTATTGCAGCTTGGAGAAATAGTTAATTTGAGTCCCTTTCAACTGCAAGGGAAAGAAAAAAGCCAAAATATTTCCCAAATGAAAATGCTCCACATAGGGGTAAGGAAAATAATTTTTGTTCCAGACATGTCTAGGAGAAATGCAAAGAACAAGTAAATACAGAAAATCATTTTTCAGTGTTTCAGACTTGGTTTGAAAGCCTTGAAAATTGAATTTAGCTTGAGCCTACTCACTAAAATTTCTCTTTCTCTCCCAATACACAGCTACAGAGCAATGTGATATTGATAGCTTTTTTTTGTATAAAGCTGTTCTGTTCTTGCAAAAATAACCATAGAAAATTCAAAAGGTACCTTGCACTTGCAGTCAAACAAGAGGATTTGACCCTAATTGAATAGTGGGTGGAACTTTTCTTTTTCATGAAAAAAAAACTCTGGCTGCCACTCTTTTGACTGTCTGAAACATTCATTTGATTTGCTTTGAGATCTGGAATTAATATAGTATTAGTTAAGCGGTAAAACTGCTGAGTGCCACTGGCATTTCATAATTTATTTTTAAAGGTTTCTCTAAATTATATTCTTTACACTTCCATGCATAACATTTTCTTGTTGCATATAGGTTAACAGCCTTAACTAACTTTACCCACTAGAGAAAGAGAAAACAAGTGATTCAGTAAGACTTTTTTTTCCTAGCCATAAAATCTTTCAAAAGACATCACCCAATTCTCCTTCTTCTTTATAGTTAATTGTATATATTAATATAATTTCGTGAGAAATAATCTTTGCTTTATTGCTAGCACAAGATTTATCTCATAAATCAAAATTCAGAGTCTCACAAAGGAAAAAGAAATTTAGGTCCAAAGAAAGGTAACAAAGCTGGTGAAGGGTCTAGAAAGTGACTCCCATAAGGAGCATCTGAGTGAGCTGCAGGTGTTTAACCTGGAGAAAAGGAGGCTCAGGGGAGACCTTACGGCTCTCTACAACTGCCTGAAAGGAGGCTCTAACCAGGTGGGGATTGGTCTCTTCTCCCAGACAAACAGCAACAGGACATGAGGACATGGCCTCAGGCTTTGTCAGGGGTGGTTCAGGTTCAGGTTGGACATCAGGAAGAATTTCTTTCCAGGGAGGTGGTGGAGTGACCATCCCAGGAGATCTTCAAGAAACAACTGTGCATGGCACTCAGTGGTCTGGTCTAGTTGACAAGGTGGAGATGTCAAAGATTTGACCCAACGATCTTGGACATCTTTTCCAACCCAAATGATTCAGTAGGATTTTCGTCTTGCTGTAATTGCCAAATAAAATCCAATTTTGCTAAAGCATGCATGACAGGGAACAGTATAACTTGCATTTGTTTCATTTGTTTCTTATTGTGCTGTCTTTGTGCTGCAGGTGTTGTGTATGACAGTCTGATGCTGAAACACCAGTGCATGTGTGGGAACTATTCCAATCACCCTGAACACGCTGGAAGAATCCAAAGCATCTGGTCAAGGCTGCAAGAAACTGGGTTGCTAAACAAATGTGAGGTAATTAAAAATTAAGACCAGATACCTGACTTGCTAAAGTAAATAGCAAATTTATTAACTCCAAAACCTGTCTTCTGCAATAAGAGAGTAATTTGTTTTAGGAATTATTTGGTCTTAACCGATGATACTAAAATAATGCATTACAGGAAAACACACTTCCCAATCAGAAAATAAAGAATTTACACAGTCTTATGCATTCACATGCATCAGAATATAAAACCCTGACATGATTATTCCTCACCTTTGTAAAGGAATGTAGACAAGCAGTAGTCAAACAGTAAGTGCAGTCCTCCCATCAGAATGGTTCTTAACTTTTTCAAACAGCTAAGGATTTTACTTCTGTAGCATAGAACATTTTTTCAAAATATAGTTTGTACCATTCTGTAAGCATATTGCATCTTGTCTTTCTTCAGACTTTAAAGTCTGTTTTCATAGCATGATCCTTTACCTGGTATACAATAGGTCCCATGTGAAGCCCCAAGACATTAAAGAACAATGTTATAGGCAATAGCAAATTTGAAATTTTTTTTCTGCTATGATCTCCCTCAAAAAATTGCATATTAAATGATGCTTCAATCAAATATGGTCTGTGAGGCTCATATATGATTTGGGTTAGTTAAAGGTAGCTTTTTCTTACCATTCCCTGCTTCCTGTGAGTTGTGAAGCACTGTCAACTTCAGAAGCCTGGGGCAATCGCAGGTGTTTACTGCACTGCAGCACAAGTTAACAAAGTTCAGCAAAAATTTGCTAGTGTTCTGCAGGATCCCAAAATTTCCATGGCTCTCATGTTCTGTTTAATTACTTTTCTTTAAATCCTTATGTTTTTACAAACCCCAAGGGACTGGTTCAATAGGTCCCTTTGAATAGCTATTAATGACTGTCCCTAAAGATTTTCTGTAGGTAGCTCAGTGTCTTGGTCAGTGAGATATTGCAAGCACTGTAAATGGATTTGTTGTATACACTCATCTAACTAGATGGCAGCACTGTAACAGGCTAATTCTCTTTTTTAGCTTAGATAATTTTTTCGGTGCTCAAGAAGACTTTCTTTCAGCAAGGCCCTTAAGGCCACCAAGAGTGGTTTCACTGGGGAATCACATACTTCAAGATTACGTTAAACATGCAGCTGAATGTTTTACTAAAACAAAGCCTGGTTACCTTCTTGACATAGGACTCCATATTATAAAGAAAAGACAAAAACGGAAAAAGAAGTAAAATGCAGTGTGCTACTATGTACTGCTTTCTTCACTAACAAACAGCTGTTGTTGAACAGTAAATTATGTGGCTCCGTGAAAGGTGTAAAATGAAAAAGTGGTATGTGTTAGCTTGAGATGCATGCAGAGTAAGAATTTCCTGGATGATTTAGTTTCCTCTTGCAACTCTAAAATTTCAAAACCTGAAACACAGCTTATTAGGTCTTGCATAATTAAGTGAGGGGGGAGAGAGGAAAAAAGTCACTTCATGTTGAACTGCATTCAGCTAATTTTGACCCCAACTGTGTGCTTTGAAATGAGGCTGGAATGTGAAATGAGCTGTGAAAATGTAAACCCTGATGATAAAATTAAGGAGTCTCAGTGTGAAGCTGGTGCATAGATCTGGTGTTTATCTAGATCCTCTTATGTAGCTAGAGACAGAATTATATTTGGTGATGCAAATTGTCCTTTGTTTCACTAAATTATCTAGCATGTGCCTGACATCAAACAAGTGCTTAAAACTGTTCAATTTCCAAAATAAGAAAGGCTACAGTGATGCACTTAATTGGTGCTCTGTTTCTTCAGAAAATCATTCAGCTGAATAGATAACTTGTGTCACTAAAGGAGTGGTTACTGCATTATCCAAGATATAAAAAGCTACAATCAAGTTGCTTTCTGAAATACACCACATCAGGAGTGCATAGTGAAAAGATCATGGGCAACTTCACCATCACTTCTGCTGAATTCTGGATGCCCCTTCATGGATACTACCATTTCTTAATATAATTTCTCAGCATAATTTCCCACAGTTTTTGTCAGGAGTAGGGAGATCACTGGTCAGGTTTTGCCACATGCATTACCTCATACCCCAAGTCTAAAGGGCACGTTAGCAACAGCAACCTGCAGCAGCCACTTAGGAAATCCTCTGCAGTTAATGTGAACTTTTTTTTTTCTTTCTAACTAAAACAGTAGTCCCACAGGAGGGTTGCAGTCCCACTCTGTCTGATAAGGAGTTTTGGGATCAAAACTGGTTCAGTCAGAGGTAGCTCAGGTTTTTTTTACCTTGCACTGTATGTATCCTTGGGTACAGTCTTGTTTCGGGAGCCCTCCCTATTTTCATAATCTAACAAGAAACCCTTATGAAAATTAACAACTTTTATCTCTATGACCCTTGTTATCTACAGCAGGGAGCTTTATGTGGTTCCTAAATCCTTTAGTGTGGATTAAGTCCTCTCACACAGCTCAGGTCTTTGCCAATAGAGAAATGACTGGCTGAGTGTTCAGAACTAACTTGGCACAGGATGGTGAAAGTCATACAGACTAAGGCTAACACCATGCTTGCTGCAGTTCATAGATTAATTTAGGTTGGCTAATCTAAGCTTAACATATTTCCTTTATATATACCTGCACATATTACTCATGCTGACCCCAAATTATTTTTAAACTACAACTTGGCAAAATCATAACTAGGTTTGAGTGGGGTACACAAGCTGTGGATCTGCTACAAAATAAAATATCTCTGAGACCTTTCTCTACCCTTGCAGCCAACTGGCATGGAAAGGCCCATGTTCATACTACCAGGAATGCTTCTTGGCCCATGCCAGTGACCAAACCATGTCTGGGAGTTTTTTGGGAGAGTGCTAGCTGCTGCTCAGCCAAAACAGTATGAAGGAGCACTTTAGCTAATAGTACAGATGATTGTGTTACTCTGCCTGGGAATGTTTCCTGGCACTGCTTAGTTTACTGCGGCAGACACAGCCAGGAGGACTTGCTTTTCCAGACTATATTTTGTCTTTCTAGCCATAGGTACTTGTACTCTAGAATTATTCAAACAACAGTTTGGGGGACTTTTCCTAAATCAAAAAAATTCGTTTTAGCTCTCCGATTATTTTTTAAATCATATCCTACTTCCAAACAGATAGATTAATTCCTCCAATCGGATTCCTCAAGACAAGGAAAAAATACATTAGACCATTGCCAGTCACAGAGAGGCAGATTTGAGAGACCAGTCCCTGACTGAGTTCAGGGCAGGAGAGTGGAGTAATTCACACACATCCACACACATATCCACGGTGAACTTTTTTATAGTCCTGGTATGTATGTATTGGAAAAACAAAATTAATACACAATATTTTTGCATTAGTTTCAAAGTTTTACACATGTTTGATGAAATGCCTGTTTGGTGTTTGTTAAAGGTTGACAGTTGTCAAATGCAGACAGGGGCAGCTAAAAGATGCGAAGATGGGTATAAAAACCTCCATTATGCCTTTTTTTTTTTTTTTACAATTTTCCCTTGGTAAACAGCAATGCCTATCTGCCCTACCTTTGGGACAATAAAAGGACTGAATTATGTTTTGGTAGGGGTGTCCACTTTCCACTTGTTTTAGGGAGAGGAAGTATTCAAATAACTCCTTGGGGGCTGTAATTTATGCACACATGACTGACATTAGGCTGCAGTGATCAGCACACTTTCAGAAGAGAAAAGAAAATGGAGCCATGGTCCTGCTTCGTGGCCCCTCCTTTAGTTCCTGTAGGGACTGTGGTCCAGCAACACTTTTCTGCCTAGAACTTGTTCTGAATTTTGGTAGTTTTCTGGATTAGGGAGGCATCTTACACCTCCTGCTGTCCACATCTCATGGACTGAAGGGGAGGGAAGGAAAGAATTTAAAGCTGAGCCTGCCAGATCACATAAACTGAAACATTTGAAAAATTCCACTCTTTGAACCTCAGTTTTCCACTAAAGATAAAATAATGCAGGAAAAGTTTGTCCTTTTTAAAGAGCAGAAATATTTAGAGTGTTTAACATATTCTAAATCACTCTAAATCTTAAGAGTCTTAGGCACTAGATGACCAAAATACGTGAAGAGAATAAATGCATCTCTATGTGGATGCATGTGTGTCAGAGACATGCTTGAAATTCTCACATGGTGCAGAGAGAGCAAGCGATGTGTGTATACTGACTGACACAAGACATGTTATCTGTGAGAAAACAAGAGAAAATTTAACAACTATGAGAAATCTCACGAAAGCAGGAAAAGATCTGGAGACTCTGTTTACAAACTTGATAGCCTAAGGGAATTTCATACAAAAAACTGCAATACAGGCAATGGACACATTATGCTGAGAGACCCAAGTGAGAAATATCTTTAATCTGTGTAACAATTCATGTTAGTTTAGCAGAGAGAAACAGCCAGCATCACTTTTGTCCTTTTGAATGTCTGTCTGTGCATGAGTTTACTCTGCTGATAGTCTAACCAAAATCTTCAGGTTAATGGAGGTTGTCTGTGTGAAAATGTAATAGTCTCTTTTAAAAGAAGACCAGACATTGACCTTAAATTCTGTGAAAGGTGAAAACATTTTCCCTTTGTGGGGACAGTGGATTTCTAGTTTTAGACTGACTTTTTCAAAGCATTCAGGTGCAAGTGTTTTGCTCTCCTGAGATGTATAAATGTTTCTGTTGATGAGGGAACCACATATGTCAGAGAACAAAGCCAACAAATTGTCATACACATTAGAAAAGGATGACTTGCCTTCTATTAAGGATGTAGTAGATGGGTAGATGTATTGTTCAAATTCTCTATAATGAAACAAATATTGTTAATCTGTCTTCCTATGTTAGTTCTCCTTTTTTGTTGGCTTTATGCCAATTTTCTGCTATATTTTATAATTTTGATACTACCATGATCCATGAAAATTAAGAAAGACACTTCCATATAAAAAAAAAAAAAAAAAAAGATGTGGCTAGAAGTGTAGGTGTAAAGTTATATAAATGCATATGTTCTGTTTTCTGATAACTTTCTGATAGTGAGAGCCAAAAGTGAGCACTTTGCATAACTGAAGTTACATGAGAGGCTCTGGCAACAGACTTAGGACAAAAGCTTGTGTAGATTTGTTAAATCCTGACATCATTGTGTGAAAACTATTCTTAGAAATTATTACAGGTAATTTTTAATGCACTTTTTTTCCCTCTGTGTAGAGCCTTAGATAGTTGAGATTGATATGCAGAGATACTGCAAGGATGGGGTGAAAGGAACACGAAATGAGGAGATGGGAATGCAGAAACAGCACAGACACGTGCACAGTTTACCCTTCCCTTTCCTCCTGCCATCGACAGTGTAAATGTCCTTGCTGATGTTAGAGCTGGAGAAGCCATGGAGAAAGAGCAGCTCTGGGCTCTGCCAGCCCAGCTGATGGCTACATTCCAAGGATCTCACTGGGGAAAGCTGCCCCAGTGGGGTATCCTCCTCAATGCTACTTGATTTCTGCACCAAACTGGTTTCTGCATGACCTGTTTCTACCCTAGAGAATTTCACTGGTGATACTGGGTAGGAGGTATGTTGGCAGAACATTTTGGAAGACCACTTCCAGACCAGATATTGCAGAGCACCCATTGTAAAAATAATTGGCTGTGTGGTTTGTTATAGTTAAAGGGATATGGCATTCCATTTAACAACACTTAAAAAAAGCCAGACAATTAACTGTCTTAAACATGTCTGAGAGTTTTTGTGTACTTTGTAGAAAATATGTGGCCAGAGAGTATTTTGCTCAGGGTTCTTTGGCATGACCTTTATAAAATTCCTCTTTACTTTTCTTATGCATTTATTTTATCTGTCTTAAAAGCCAACTCCCTTCCCAATTTTGCCGTGGAGATTTGGGTATATACATTTTAAAGCAGCTTGTTAGAAACATGGACCTTAATGAGAATGGATGAAGGAATAAATGTTACCAGTCACCTCACTTGTGAAGAAAAATATTTTATCTGACCCAGAAGAACCATTACAGAGTTTACTGACTCCATGAAGTAACATAATGTGCTGATTTTGATTGTGCAACTGTGTGTTAAAAGGATGTGAGTGCACTGCTACAAATTCTCATGTGAGACTGGGAGAGGCTTGAAGGAATTAGAGATGAAAAAGGGTTTATTAAATCATTTAGTTCTTGGATCATACCCTAAAATGTTCTTTCCACTGCTGTGTCTAGTCAAGTTTTAAACACTGCGAGAAATAGGGCTTCCACCATTTCCCTGAGGGGGAGCTTGTTCCACAGTCATCTAGCTCTAACTCAAAGGATATTTTTCCTGATTAGTCAGAAAAAATTCCCACTGCTTAACTCAATATAAATTGGGCATGGTTCTTCTGACCCCACATCCCCCAGGCATCTCCTCTTTTCTGCAGTGCACATTCTCTTTAATATTCATAATATTGTTTTCCTCTCCTAGTGCAGAGGTTGGTGCTTTCCAATGTGTATGACCAGGTATTGGATGCAATAAGAATTTAACCTCCAAGAAAACGAGAATTAAATGCATTTCTGCAAAAGATAAATCAGTCTAGTTAAAAATTGGGGTCTATTTCGATAACTGCTGTACCTGTGTATCTGTAGACCTTAAGAGTCAGACAGACCCAGTCTAAGCTCTGAGAGAGATGGCTCTCAGTGTTCATAAGGACCAGGTCTACAAACAGGGTCCAAGACCTTACAATCAAGATGTATTCTCTTCACTTTATCCAAGGTCAAGAGGAATATTGGGTCCAGAACTTTCTTGACAGTGCTGTTTATATGCCCAATCCTAAAGAAAATGTGATTCATGTTGCTGTATCTGCAAAGGCTGTGCAGCACTAGCACAAGAAGAGAAATAAATATTTTTATGATATGCTGTAAGTCCAAATACACACAAGGAACAGATATGCCAAATAAAAAAGTGTTAGTTTTATCTTTCCTTTCCTGTTTTTCTTCCTTCCTAAACTGATTTCTAGAAAGAGGTCCCAGATTTTTTACATCTTACTTTGGGACAAGTACAGGCTGGAGACCCAGTTAACGAGACAAACTTCACTTACAAAAATGTAAGAAAGCTAATCATCATGTGTAACAGCAAAAATATTAATCACACACGATCACAAGTGTGTATATCGGTATTGATCACACATTAAACATTTTAAAACATACACAAATATGTTACTAAAGCATTTAAAGTTTAGTTTTCTTTTTCTCCCTGTCTCTCCTCACTATGATCATGTTCCTCCTAGCAGCATAAATCACAAGTAGCAGTAATGATGCAAAACACATTAATCCTCATTCCAAACACATCTGCAGCTTACAGGTGTGAAAAATATTTTGCTATCTAAATCAGGTTTTTTTCTAGCCAGATTTCTTACTTAAAAAATATTTCATCTTTTGGTTTGTATCTCTTAATAAATTATGTAGAAAAGAGAATCTTTTTTCTTTCTTTTATGTGAAACCCTGTATTAAGATAACTCTCCTAAGGCTAAAGTGAAGCATTTTGTGATAAAGGACACACGCATTTGTTTTTCATATACCATTACTTTAATAAACAAATCAGTGTCACATTCCTGCATGACGCAATTTCAACCCATTATTAATCATACTAAGTGTTATTTTGGACCTTTACTTTTTTTTTTTTCTCCTTAAATATTGTCAGTGGAATATTGTAGGCCTCTGCTGTTTTCTTTCAGCGAATTCGAGGTCGAAAAGCCAGTCTGGAGGAAATACAGCTGGTTCACTCTGAACATCATTCACTGCTGTATGGCACCAGCCCACTGAACAGACAGAAGCTGGACCCCAGGAAACTCCTAGGTCTGTACAGGCCTCTCTATTCTACTGAGAACAGCACATTCCAGCACTGTCATTAGTCATAGCTGGTGTCAGTTTAAAACACTTGGCAAGCAGTGTGACAAAAATTCACTTTTTCCAAATGCATTGCTATGTGCAAGGAGAATGTTACAATGGAAGCCAAATATAGATTAGCAAAATCCACCGGCTGGAAAGCAGCGATACAAGTTTCTCCTCATTTGCTTCAAAAATCATCAGTGTTAACCTTTTACCGTAATTTGCTCTCCATTGGAGGTCAGTGGTAAATTTGAACACAGCTGGTTTTCTACCTCCTTGTATTCTTTAATTTGAAATTAGGAATTTAAGATACACTTGCTTGTCAGAATTGTTTGTTTGCTGTTCCCATTTGCTTTATTTTAACTATTTCAGCCCTGTCTGCAGATACTATGCCTAAGTTTTGCTAATAAGTGAACTTTATTTTAATGCCTTCTCATTATGCAGGATATATCTTTCTGAACAACGTGGGGGAAGATACATTAACATACTAAATGCACCTATGGTTGTACAGAAGAGCAGAAAACTGACAGTAAAATATCTTCATGTCCAGCCAATGCTCAGTGTATGTCTTTTATAGCACAAAACTAGGGTTAAAATGAGCTCTTCCATTAGTGTAGCATGAAGCAAGTCTACTTGTCAGAAGCACACAAAAAACTAGTGCATGAAAATCCATGAGTGAAATCTTTATGTCCCAGCACACTGGATACAACACTCTAATTCTCAGTTATTTTTATAATGCTTCTTATAAGATGTGGAGCTTTTCCTAAATGTAATCAAACCTAACCCAAACAAAAATAACATTAGCCATCAAAAGAAATTGCTGCCACAATTCTAGTAATACACAGCAATTATTTTGCTTTGGAAACTTATGCTGTTTCTTCTGTAAGACAGACTGTTGCTTCAGGAAGTCCTAAGATCATAATGTTATATAGGTTTATACATTTTCTTAGCCAAGACAACATCAAAACTGAAAAATATTTACAGTATAATAGATTCTCAAGAGCTTGAATTTCTAAATAGGAAATCCTCCTTTTAAAAAAGATGCTGCCAAGAAAAAGTTCTAAATTCCTGCAATTCCAATTAAATTAAATTTCCAATTAAATTGGAAATATTTTTATTTGATTTCATCAACATTGTTAAATTGTTCCTTTTTGATACAGCATAGCATTTAATTTAAACTTTGTTGGGTTTAATTACTTTTATTTTCTTTTTTAGATTGTTTAATATAACATACATTGATACACAATATTGTTCCAATTTAGGATCTCAGTGGTTGAGCAGCCTCTGGGATGCTGTGTGCAGTTGCAGGTACAAGGTTAAGAAGGAATGGACCTGACTGTGCTTCTGCTGATCTACTTAGAATGCAGAAAGCTTTGTTTATCCAATCTCAGAAAACCATTTCTTGGCCCAGTTTCTTACTGGACATGTTTTGCCTTTTTTATTAGACCCTTAGTCCAAAACATTTACTCTCTAAGTTTATATCAAGATCACAGTCTTAGAACATATTCTGAGTGTATCCTTGGCTCACTGCCCTTTCTTCTCTCCATTTCTAGGATATTTTCTTGTTGCATCTCACATGGCCTTTTACCAAGACAAAAGTCAATAAAACACCCTTCCCACATGCTTTTGCATGTGCCTGTTTTCTGGCTGGAAGCTCTAATCATTTTGGCTTCCAGACTCTTGGATAAAGGAAACTAATTGTCTCTTGCATTTTTGTCCTGATTTTCCTGTTCCCATTTCAGCTGAGGTTGAACCTAACCAATCCTGACATTAAAATTAACATCTTTGTATATTACAGAAATTCAATATACATGTAGGGAAACATACCTAAAGAAAATGTTTTTTATAAAAAATGTAATCAAAACAACATTGTCTCAGAAAATATTTCTATTTCAATGAAAGTGTATAATTTTTTTCCTATAGAAACATGTAGAAATCAAATCCATCAAATGATGGCTTTGCATCCTAATGAAAAGTAGTACCTAACCTCTCTTTCTTTACTGCTCTACCCATCCAAAAAGACAGAAGCACCATTTGCTCACCACTTATGCTCCAGAAAACGTTTGTATTTCCTGTTCCTTATTGGAGGAGTGCATCTGCCTTCTCTGAAGCTCTTTTTCTTTTGAAATTGAGCTTTTCCTCATCATTTTTCCTCAGTTTATCAGACTCTTAGTCCCCAGTCATCAATCTCCCAGTCAACTTCCTTGACTTCTGTAGGGGTCTGACCTCAGTCAGTGATGGGTGCCTCAGCACCTAATTTGACAAACTAGCTTCTATGCCTTTGTGCATTGATATTCTAGAATATAAATCTTGGAACATTTCTAGTTCTATCAGTAAACAGTTGTACTGAATTTAAAGTGCTGGTGACTACAAACTCTGCCCTAGCACTAAGTAAAAAAAAAAATTATTATTTAGACTTTGTCTTCTACCTTACTTAAAGTATCCTAATATCTTCTGGGACATCATCTTCAAACACCATGGGAAATTCTCACTCCAATTCATTTTCAGAGTAGCTTTTTGCTATTGATTTTCATTTATCGCAGGCTGTTGTGAGCTTTCCTTTTTTGTCAGGCTAGCTAAGCAATGATCTCACTTTCTCTTAGTCCATTTCCCCTCTGTTCTTTGCATGAAATCTCAATGTTTTTCTTGTTCTTCAGAGTTTGGCAACTACTATTTTTTAAGCCATCATGCAATAAGGAGTATTCCAGCAAGCTTCTTGATACACTGAAAAGCTTCCATGCTTGTTTTCCCCAGTTTTAGTACTATCTTCTGATTGATTTTAGTGTCCTTCCTTACCATCTGCTTTTCTGTTTTTCCTTTATGTTTATTGTTTTTAATAGTGTTTGCCATGCACAATGTGCCTGGCTGCAGTGAGAAAAATGGGAATTCATCTGTTGTCTCTTATGTGCCAATTCTGCCATGAAATTTAAGAAAAGATGTCTAGTCATTCAATAATCTAAAAATGCCTTCTTTTATCTCAAATTACATCTTATGTTTCCATTAATGTCTTCTTTCACTTTAACAGCACTAATTTTTTTAGTTATCTGCTTGTGACTTTTTCATCTTCCCCATAGTAAAAAGTGAAAAATTGGTCCCTGGGTCTGCTTAGCAAGATCTGGAAACTCCAACTTGCACCTCTGACAATCTCCTGCAGCCAACATTTCCTTGCATGTCTGGGGCCATTAGGACTCACAGTATGAGAATACTCTGCATAGCTGCTGCACCTGCATTTCCCCTGGTAGCTCCACAGGAGGTTTTGTTTGGCTTCTCTCGCACACTGTGCAAACTGATCAAAGATCTCTAGTCGGATAAAAATGCATCTTGGATTTTACTCAAAGTGTAAAGCACTTTCCTCATCCCAGACCTTGCAATCTGGTCTCTCTCATACTTCAAAGATGATGGCTTATAGTTGTCTTTATGCATTTCATTGGCACCTGCTAAACATGAGTAACTGCAGCATTCTCCCCCTCCATAAGAATGGGTGACTCCTCTAGGTAACTCCAGTGATTCACTATCTAATGTTTCCTCCAGATGGCAAAGTTACAAAGCCAGTTCTGTGATATGGCAGGGGAAAAGCTTATGTTCTCTTCCACAGCTGCCTTAGGATCAGATTACACACTGGGATAGGAACTGCATCAAATCCTGAGATCCTTACCCGGTTTTCATATTGTCAGTATCAAGATAAACCATGAGTTTAGTAGTACCAAAAACAAAAAACAAAACAAAACAAAAAAAACAAACAAAAAACAAAACAAAACAAAACAAAAATTAAGAAAATTTGAGTATAAATAACCCTATCACATTAGCCAATATACAGAGTAGATTAGCTAGAAATTAAATTCTAAAGCCTAATAAGTTTTTGTTCCCTTTAGTATTTACTGAATAATACTGAAAAAATGGTATTTCAAGTTATGTTTTCAAAATATCGATCCAATCATTGATGTAATGTAAACGAAGAAAAAAGCATTTTTACATAGATAGAAAGACTAAGTCTGCAATTTTCAAAGGAGAAACTCTTTTGAAGCCAAGAAGCTGAGAAATGAGTTATCAGTTTTATGTAAACTTAATGTAGTTCCCTCTGTTGTCAGTGAAAAGAAACAGGTACTTCTCAAGCATATTTCATCCCATCAGTCATGTAAGCTGGATGGAGGTGCCTGCCTCACTCCTTTAGCTGGAAAAGAAGCTGAGATGAGTAGTGTAGTCAAGCTGCTTATCAGCTACAGATATCAGGATGATTAGTCACCCTAGTTCAGAGCGATCTTCTGTGGAATTTTGATCATTATATTTCTTTGAAATTACCATTTCCCAGTCTTAAGATTTTTCACTGTTGCATGACAGCACCTTAAAAGTCCCATGGCTGATTTGATTTCTAAGTATTATGATTATTTTTGTACTATTATCTGGCACTTTCATAGTGATAATAATACTGGAATCTGAATTACTGTAAAGAATAAGGAAATACTGTTCCAGTATTTAAATGTCTTTTTTAATAAACAATGCTTATTATTTCTTTTTTTCTTTAATATATAGGAAACGTGTCTCAAAAACTCTTTTCCTTGTTGCCGTGTGGGGGACTTGGGGTAAGTAGATGTTTGTTTTTTCACGAAAGGGACAGCACACAACATATGGGTTCTCTGGTTAATTCTTTAGCACTATCAGTTCAAAGCCTTCAGAAGCTGATAAAAATGTAGAGATGAAACATGAGCCATTATTGCACTGTGTTTTAAGACATTACAAGAGGCATATGGAAGAGTTAGGAACAAATTTTGTGTAAATGTGCCCATTTCTACTTATCCCACTTTGGATTTTTTATATGAACTCTTTTCTTGAGGAAAGTTAACACGGGCACAATTGTTATAGCACAATGAGCCTTTGAGAAGCTGTTCCATGTACTCTTGAAAAGTAAATATGCTTCCACACTTCTCTGAAAGACAAAAAAGTTGCCAACGCTAACATTTAGCATGAAAAGGGCTCACTAGATGCTAGCCAATAACTTGGGTACTAAAATAATGAATTATGTGAGCATTTTTATGCCCTTGTTTTGAAACAGATTCTTCCTGAAAGACAAACTTGTATTAGGACACAGTAGACAAAAATCTGCAGAAAGAAACATGTTGCAACACTAGATAAAAGAGTAAAGCTAAATTAGTGAAAACCATGTAGGACTTCTACTGATACTGGTATCATGCTCCTATTAAATTGTAGTGAACATAATGCCAAGGAGAAATAAATTTTCACATAAATGAGTTTTTCACACAAACGTATTTCATGCTTTCGGTCCAGCTGGATCCATTATTTACTGATGTCACCAATATCAAAGTGAAATGGTAATATTCTAGATATCAGTGGGCTGGATGGTTGATGTATATTTTACTTCCCTTTTACTGCTTCTCAGTGAATTCTCCAAGTATCTTCTCTGAAAAGTCTGAGCAGACATAAAGGCATAATCTCTGGAGGTCAACTTTCGCTGCTACCTTATACAGTTTTATTTACCTTTATTCTTCACAAAGGATAGATTCCACACCATACTAGTATATTTATTAATTTTGTAAGGTTTTAACATACTCAAGAAAAAAATGCATTTTAACCTTCAGTAATTTGTAATTTTGGTAGATTTCTGAACTATGAGTTAAAAAAAAAAATAATCAGGAAGTTGTAATCATTCCAGCTCCTCCACTTTGGCTTAGCTTGCTGAAGATCCTGCCTAAAATTTGGAAGTTGGTGACCAGCAACTTGCCAATCTGGAAACTTGGGTATCATTTCTGTATGTGGTTCAGCTAACATTACACATTGACATGTCGATGTGTTTGCACGTGCACCTCTGTAAACTGCTGTGTGCACACATACATGCACACACTTGTGTGTAAAAAAGGTAAATTTTCACACTGCTGATGCAGATAAAATTGAACAAAAAATTAATAAAGTTGAGAAAGGATGTTCAGACTTCTGAGTAAAAAAGGAGATTATGTAAATTTCTTGAAAAAATCTATTTGAGGGCCTTGGATATTAAAATAGACTATATAGCATTTAAATAGTAAAGGATAAGACTTTTCTATGAAACAGATTGTTGTGACCAGAGATGACCAGAGATGTGCTTTAAAATGCTTCTACTAATGACAATATGTTTCATTCTAAAGCTAACACAAGTCAGAATTGCTCAGTACAACTTCATTGTTTTAAGCATTTAAATTCATCTACACTTTTTTTTTCCAGTCTGTTTCATTTATTTCTTATTTAAATTCATGGAAATTGGATTAAAGAGCATGTTGTAGAAATGGATCTTTTATTTATTTATTTTCTAGTTGGTCTGCTTTTCTATATATGATTACTGTCAGGCTTGCTGTGGGGCTCTTTTAAAGGAATGGGTTATGACCTTTTTCAAGGTAAATAATCAGATTAGGAACTTTCAGCAATATTTAGCTGTCGATTGGTTAAGATGAGCTCCGGGAAAGGAAGCTGCTTCTAACTATGTGGAAAACAATTCTTAAGCTTACTTTCAGAAATGATGGTGGAAATGAGCAAGAAATATTGCTATTTAGTAGCTTTCAACTTAAATGAAAGGTATAAAGCAGTAATCAATGTAAAGCAGGAAGTGTAATTCATGTAAAGATTTCAGGGAAGGATGGAAGAATTTTATCTTTTTTATGTTTGTTGTATATTTTTTCCTCCTTGCTTGTATCATTACTTGTTTGCTACAGAATATAACACATTGTTAAGAAAAAAAATCCATTCTTGCAGGAGACTTTATGATTGCTTTTGAATGAGGGTTTTCAGAGGTCTTTGATCCTATTATTTTCTAACCATACGGGGACCTTGCTTTTATTACACAGCTCTGTCATTAAATAGATTAGTGTTTCAACGACTCATACAGGGGATGGGAAACCTAGGCTCAGTTCTGTCCACTCCCAGGCTGGATTTAATATCAGAGATCCCATTTCTTAGTGAGTGTTGCTACCACACAAGAGATCAAATATTATTTCTGGTTGGGGACACCCACAACATGCACTGAAGTGAAAAAAAAAAAAATGCACTGTTGGAAAGAGCACTGGACAACTAAAGCTTTATTCATAACTAGGATAAAGCCCATCTATCTAAGGCTATGATTTACCTATTGCATATCATTATAAATACTGCCAAGACCTAGTTCTGAGGCCTTGTTCCACAAACAGTTATAAATTTGATGCGAAAGAATCACTGAACAGAATTAAAACTTCTCTTGGATTAAGGAATGGAAGCTAGGACTTCCTTAACACTGAAGACATGATCACTTGATGGGCTTATATTGTTCACAAACAAAACTCAAGTAATTTCTGTAACCCTGAATTCCACTCTATTACTGATTTTCTTACCTCTTTTCTAAAACTTCAGCCAACATCTGGCATCCTCTTTGGACACTACAGTTACAGTAAAAGAAAGTTTGTTTCAAGAATTTTGAAAAGCAAATAAGAGGCAGTCTGTGTCCATAACTATTATTTTCTGATCCTTTGCCATCACTCCACTAAATCTTTTGTAGCAATGAAAAATATGTAAAACTACAGTTTACTCATTTTGTAAACACTTTTCATCCATATGAATTTTCTTTTAAGTAGTGATAGGGATTGCTTATGTCAGAGTCATTGGCTTAGTATATGTTATGCTTTCAGGAGAAATCAAATAAATTTTTTAGCTTCATAAAGAACTATGTAAGTAGTAATTAGCTCTCTTATCTAACAGCAGAAATCTATTTCATCTGTACAGCTAAATTGAACATATCTCACAAAGAGAAAAAAAAAATTGTCTAAACTAGCATCCTAAATTTGCCCACAACAGGTTTTCTTTCAGTGATGGTTAATATTTTATCGAAGGACTATCCAGGGTCAGGAGTACAAAATCCACTGAAGTATGGGATCTCCCTCCTGTAATAATGCTTTTTATGGCTTTTTTTTTTTTTCCTTTCAAGCTTAACCTTGTTCCAGAACCAACTGTTGTTAAAGAATTCTAATACCAGGGGGATGAAATTCTTTGTGTTGGGGAGAGACTAGCAGCTCTATGGCCAGCAGTTTTAATAAAAAGAGATGGTTTCTTGCAGCTGGTCAGAGGTTTGGAATGTGAAAAGTTTTCCAGGAGAGGTGGGTAGATTGCAGGTGAAGTGGCCAAATGGGGAGAATAATCACAAATTACATTTTGGTTCTGTGGATTGTCAGACCGTTCCACAATTTTTCATCTGTAAACAGCCACTAGAGCTGTAACTGATCATTTGACCAATGTATCCATCTATTGCAATTCCTCTCCTGTTGTGCTGTGAAATGACAATAAGAGAAGCAGAAATTTACTTTTAATGGGAGTAAGTTTCATCCCCTTGTCTCAGTCTGTCACTAAAAATAGTGATTGTTTTCTTGCCTATTTGACCTGCTGCTGTGTGAAGAAATCTTGAAGTCATTTCTCAGCCATATTTTTTTGTCTAGTTGATAGGCAAAAAACCCCACAAAAGCAAAGAAGAGCAGGCTTTTATGATAATGTCATCATCGGCTCCCAGCTTCAAACACTTCTGCGGCTTTTGAATTGTCATTTATAACTTGGAACTGAACCGACCCATAATTCCCTTGATGCATTTAGAGAAATTGATAACAGACTGCTTCTTTTATGGCTCAGAGGAGGCAACTCCCATCACATCACTATTGGCAGTCAATATTATTTTCTGACATGGTTGTAAAAGTATAAAGGGGCTTATGGCATTTGTTTAGATGAGGAATGGGCTCTCAAGCTGTGCTGGGGTTTATGGGTCCAGATTACTGAGAAGCAAAGGGAATATGATGTTTGCAAACAGGATATGATTTTATTTAAGTTTGGGTTTCATACGTTGTTCCCTGGGGATTGTCCTGCAGACAGAAGAGAATTTCACTTTTATCATAAGAAATTGGGCAGTTATCCAATCCCCCCTGCTCTCCCCCCATCCTCCCCACCAAAGACACTGCTCCAAACCTGTAACGCATAGTCAGAACTTTAAATTGCAAGAGAAGGAGGTGGGGGAGAACACTGTCCTGCAAAAAATCAGACTTCAGAAGAATTAATGTTTAGTGAGCTGAACAGAGTGGTTCCTGGGCTAAATATCAAGCCATCTGAATGGCTAAGTATGGCTTGTACTTAATACGGAATGTCCATTGCATTTCCTCTAATTTTGCTGTTAAAGCAGCAAAGAGAGACAATATCTTGGGGTGGGATAAGCTGGTCTTGTTTTGAAAACTGAAGTGTAACTTGGATCTTTCATATCAGAAAACAATTTGGCCTGTAATACTAAGGGAAGAACTTTATAGTTATAAAATCTCTCAAAATATTTACAAAACTTACAAAACATTCATATTTTCTTTATGTTAAATTCCTTCCTGCCATTCCTTGCTGTGGCAGCTGACAGTGCTACTTTTTGTCCTGACCACACAGGAAGAAAAGCAATAAGAAAGGCAAGATTTTTCTAGTACACAAGTTTAGTAAGTCATCCAGGAAACAAATTGGTTTTTGCTGCTTCTCATTCTTCCCTTGATCTTCTCAGTCTGTGCCCAGGAAGAATTTTCAGCCTTTACATATTATGACTCTTCATTCCTCT